GGCCGACTCTCGTCGCCATCGGCGGCCCGACTGGTGCTGTTGTAAGCCAGCTGACCGGGCGCCGGCGACACAGTGGTGGCATCGACCCAGCCCGCCCCCTCCCCCGCTCCCCGCCCCCTGCCGCCACCCGCGCCGGAGGCTTAGCAGCGGGGTGGAATGGTGGGGGAGGGGTGGGGGGTATCAGAGCCGGGGATCGTAATTGATTGTGTGAATGGGTTGAGCCAATTACGAGTACCTGCGGTCGTATTGTACAATGTGCATGCTTGGTTGGCATTGTGCGAAATACAATACAGGACAAATGGAACCATCAGTAAATAAGCGAAGAATCTGTGACTCTGATTGCTTCCTATTTCAAAGCAGAGAAGTAATAACACTCTACTTGGAGGTAATGTGATCTTATGAGTCATCGATACGCCAATGCATTTGTTAGATGTAAAGGAAAGTTAGGCGATTATATAATAAAAGTTCGACACTACAAATGAAATGCAAACACTTTTGCGAGTGGTCAGCACTTAAAAAGTGCGATGCCTCGCCATGTTTGTTTGAAATTTGCAGGTAATCAGCAAGTTGTCATTGACATGTGTTCAGAATTACCTGGGCCATCACTTAGGTAGTTTGCGAGCTGGTGTGAAAGAGCAGTGGGTCGGCTGAGAGAAAAAAGCTATTCATTTGTGGTTGCCGATTGTTTTGGAAAAAAGTCCGACCGAGCGATGACATTTCTATCCGCCGTGACATTTGTAGTTGAACCGTTCAACGAACTGATCCGATTTAGAAGTTCGTTCTGCAGAGACTGATGCAATGTTGGAAAAGTACTCGGTGACGATAGCACTGTTGGGATTTTCTTAGAGTGATTCGCAGATGATGATACGACCCTCACCGGAGTGCAGTCACAACTCATGTATCCCTCTGTCCCCTTTGAATGGAATGGAAATGCAAGCAAGCAAGCGAGCAATGGCAGCCAGCATATTGCGGGTGTTTTGTGCGTGCGTGGCGCGGAGCGGGCCCGTCGCACGGTTGTCGCCGCGGCTGTGATCGGGACGCCGTCGGTGATCTTAAGCGGTGTCCGGCGAGTTCAGGTCACGGGGGTCGGCCGGTGACCCGGCACTGGACGAGGGAACGGCGTGGGCCAGGCGGGCGGGCGGAGAGGGTTTTGAGGAGCCACTGGGGGACTCGCATCGCCGGGTAAAGGCCTGGCTACACTATGCGTTTTCTTCGTGCGTTTGTTGCGTGTTTGCGTGTTTTGCGTGATATCGTTCTAGAAAAAAGAACGATATTACGTTTTTGTGATGTTTTTCACCTTAAATTTTAGTTACATAAGAGTTATATTAGCTTTTGTATATAACCAAAGTAAAAATTATATTGTTTATAACTTTTTTCCTAGAACGATATTACGCAAAACACGCAAACCTGCAAAAACGCACGCAGAAAACGCATAGTGTAGCCAGGCCTTAACACTTCCGTGGTCGATGGTGTTTTAATGTCTTTCTGGTGATCCTCGCTTACTGACTGATGGCTCCAATTTGTCTTGTCTTGCTACTGTTAGCTTCAAGTGGCACTCGATTCGCTTTTTCTATTTGAAAGCTACGACACACTGAATAAGTGAGGCGATCTGCGCGGACTGTGAACACGGTGACTTGCATTTCTGAAATGGCCGAGGTGCTGCGTTGTAACCGCAGAACAACAACAAATAGTCGCGATCATTCTAATTGATCGGGCCAATTTGTTTGGCGCGGCGGTGTCCCGCTTGGAATCGCTCCGGCCCCGGGCCGGACGCTGTGTATTGCGGCGCAGTCGGCCTTCAGGCGCCGACCGCTACTGCCATCTAGCGACGAGAATATGAAACTTTGTGCGATACGCCGAGATCACCAACACTAGATGATGCGATTCATGGCACGACTAAAATATCGTCCACCTAACTGCAACAATGGGTTTATTTACTTCTTAACAGGTTACTGCGATGCCAAGATGGGCGCTATATCTTTCTGCGTATTTATTATGGTTGATACTTCCAGAAGATTGCTATTATTCGAACCAACTTTTATAGCATGGTGATAAAATATAACGTCAGTTTTGCCTGCAGCAAACCACTATCGTTTTTCTATATGATGTCACCAGAATTTATCGGCAGCTTAACCCGCGCGGGGCTGGGGTCTCCAGCCGAACGCGCGGGGCTGGGGGGGGGGGGGGGGTAAATTTTACCCCCCCCTGTTATCTCCCGAACTAATGGTCCGATTTGGAAAATTCAAACGCCAATCGAAAGCTCTCATCACGAACTACTAAAAACATGTACTTAATCTGAAGTTTGAGGTCAAGGTCAAGGTCAGGTCAAGGGTACAAATTGCTAGTTTCTACAGTATCGGCCTTGCACCGTAGTTGCCGAAGAATGGAGTCATGGACTGAGACTGATCGCCCAAAACGTGTTCTTAGGCTACCAAGACAATATTCGTTGCATACAATATCATTCAGAGGTCAAGGTCAAGGTAAGGTCAGGTCAGGTCAGGTCAGGTCACCAAAAAACAAAATATAGAAAAGGGCATGTGCGACACATGTTTTATGGGTCATTTTACTCATAGAATTCAATAGGCACACTGAATAAGTGATATGGACCACCTCTGGATGAATTTCAGGTCGAGGTCAGGTCAAGGTCAGGTCAGGTGAGGTCAAATTTTGAAGTTGGTTGTTAAGGCCTAAAAAGGTGTCTATCTGATGCAGTTTTTCACGGCAAATCGAATGGTGCTATTTTTGTTTCCGTACGAGGTCTAGAACTTCCAAAAAAGTCATTTTTCAAAAAAATTGTGTGTCGTGACGTCATAACATTTTGAATAACTCCCACATTTTTGAACCGATTCTTCTAAAATTTGGTATGTAGGTGCACATAGACCACTTCTCTGACATATATTCCGGTTTTTTCGATAGACTCAAAATTTTGGATTTTATAATGATTTTCCCAAAAAAGTCAGTTTTTTGAAAAAATTTAGGCCAAAATCCAAAATTTTCAAAAAACCGAGATAGCCATTTGATAGACAAAGGAAAATTACGTATAACCTTTTTTGTTACGTCTTGATTCCTTTAAAAATGAAGATGTTAGGGGCGTTTGAACTTTTGCCGTTTTTGAGGCGAAAATGGCGAACATGACGTCACTAAAACGTCAATTTCTCAAAAATTTTCCGACGGATTTCGCTCAAATTTTCAGGAAACGTGTCAAATTGATGTAAGAAAAGGTAGGGGAGAGTGGGGAAAGATGCCCAGGGTTTGACTATGTCATATATTATTCGAAAATGACGATCGGAAAGCCAAAACTTGGAGTTTCAACGGAAGCCGACATCATTTTTCTCCAAAAAATATCACACTTTCGTGCCTGAAACATGATAGCTTTTTTTGCTATTAAGCATTTTCCTGAAGAAGTGAAAGGGGGCATCTTACCCCACAGGGTGGAAAAGACGCCCCCTGGCGTTGGGTAAGATGCCCCCTGCACTATAAGTGACAAAAATAGGCACGTGAATCGCCTGAACGAATCAGTAGTCCCTTCGAGCCTGCAGTAGACACCAAACGTCATCGTAAGGGCCCTCAAAAGTAGTCGTAAGGGGCTTCAGAGGTCATCGTTAGAGCCATCATAGTCCAGCGTGGCCAAACAAGCCTCCGTGGTGGCGTTCGGAGACCACTGTGGGGCCCTTATAGGTCTTCATGATGCTTGAGGGCCCTCAAGCCCATCGTGGGGACCTCAGATGCCAGCGCGGCCCGTGGAGCCAACGTGGGAGCCCTCAAAGGATGTCGTGAGGGGCCCTGGAACCAATAATGGGGCCCTTAGAGGCCGTCGTGAAGGCTCTCAGAGTTAGATGCCGCCCAAAAAGTCGCTGTGTGGGCCGAGAGACCGGCATGGGGAGCATCCGACCGTACCGGACTCTCAATAGTCCCAGATCGGCTTTTGTCTCTCATCACAAGTATGTAATAAATGATTTGACGGGCTGCTTGAAGGACAGCCTACGGATTTAGGGGGGCGTCTTTCCCCATCAGGACAGGGGGCATCTTACCCCAAGGTACCGAAGTAACATTAAATCAGCACAATTTGTTAGCCATAAAACTACACCCTGAAACAAACTGTTTGGGACACAGTACACGCATGTTAATGTATCACGACAATAGCAAGGGACGCAAAAATTATCTACCTTCTTTGATATTTACAATGTTTTGACGCCAAAATATTTTTTGAAAGCAGCAAATAAAAAACATGCAATCACCAGCCAGCCGTTGCCCAACTGAGCTTCGCAAATTTTTGTGCAGTTAACATTAAGGCAGGCTTCCGCTTTACGCTAAGAACATTCATTTCCAGGTTCGATTCTTTGTTTCCCCGCTAGAGGGGGTGGGGCGTCTTTCCCACCCTGGGCATCTTACCCCACTCTCCCCTACTGAAAGTTTGGCGGCGCTGCGCGCCGCCGTTTTTGAGATATCGCAAAAATTCGCGAGGGGGGGTAAAATTTACCCCCCCCCCCAGCCCCGCGCGGGTTAAGATGGAACTCGATATCATCCTCTGATATTTGTTTCCGATATTCAGCCGGGCAGTGACATATCGCTGGCGGCTCTGGTAAATAGCGCCGCCCCCGGAGCTCCGCCCGCCGCCCGACCGCTCCCGGTCGCCCCGTTTTCAACTGTCAGTCGAAAATATGCGGTCCATTCCCGACCCAGCGGCAGAGGGATGATGAGTTCATCCGTTTCCATTGCTGAAACACAGTGGTGGCGATGGAACTGCGCTGTATGTTTTGTGATAGAAGGGTAGGGGGAACGTCATATATGTAGAAAGACTTCGATGTGTGCTGTTACAGGGAATCATTTTGAAAGATACTAGCTATGTCAGTCACATTTTTCAGTCAGTGAGAGATGTCATTCGCATTTTTCCAACGAGTGAATGTCATTCATTCTTTCCAGTCACCGAGTAAATGTCTGTAGATCGAACCATTCCAGTCAATGTTTGGATGTGACGTCTGTCTCTCTGTGTTCGGCAGGAGCGGCTGCTGTTGTCGGTACTTCCTGAACACGTGGCCCTGGAGATGAAGGAGGACATCGTGTCGCCGGTGGAGCGACAGTTCCACAAGATCTACATCCAGCGTCACGAGAACGTCAGGTGAGCACCCTACCCCTCCTTGGTTCGTCATCCATATATGCCAGATGTAGCATTTGAAGAAGCTGTTCTTAGTACACTTGGCTCAGGATGACAATAAGATCCCTGCCTGGTTCCATTCGGGCGTTGTTTAACCCTAATCAATCCTCATTAGTAATACTACCATATATGTTATTTGATTTGCTTGATGTTTGCTCTCAGAATTAGGTACATTTTTTTTTCGAGTGGCGCAATGCTTTCCGATCGTGTTGACGTGTCGCAACATTAGCTTCATTCCATGATTTCTAAATGGTTCCTTTTCAACGTATATTCGTATCTTCGTGCAATGTTTTTTTTTTTGTATGCCAGATAGACAGACCGCTTGCTTGAAGTCCGGATAGGGTTTAGGCTTTCTTTTTCGTAGTACAGGGTGTCTCAAAAGTTCGCTTACAGGTACCAGCCATGCTTTTTTGTCAATAATTCTGAATCAACAAGAAATTAACAGTCGAAATTTTGCATGGGCATTGGTAACAACCTTCCTCAAGCAGCTTCATTGTTTTCAAGCGCATTCGACCCTTCATGAGCTCACAAAAAGGGTTCACCTCTGACCATGGATCAGGCATGAAAATGGAGGTCGCATACTCGGGTCGGCTGAGAAACTCTCTGCTTCACGAGTAATGGGAATGGTTAGGTCGGAAATGACACATGGCAAAGTGTCGGCGAGGATGAGTACAACATGATGGTCATCTAATAAAAACGGTGGCTAAAATTTTTGAAGGACAAAACCATGCGAGACTAACAGCGCTTTGAACGACCCTTGTACCGCAGCAGACTCGTGCTCCGGAAAGCAGCTGGAAATGCAGTCCTAACTATTGAAAACTGACTAGAAGCTCACAGACAGAGGTTACCCAGTTTCAAAAATTGCAGGTCATCATAAAATAAAGACAAAATATCATTTAAAATTGTTTATAATATCTATAACGCTAAATTTTGAGGGAAAATAATGCGAAAATCGTCAATGCCGAGGACAAATGACCCTCCAAAAGTGTCAATTAATGTAAAGTTTTATCTAACGAAGTTTCAAGAGGTAGATCTGGAGCAAATAGCTTTCTTTTACACACAAAATCCGGACAAAACCGCACGATGGACAGGTTTTGGCCGTTTACAAAGCAGAACCTCTCCTGAGGAAAACACTCCGGAACCCAGCGAAGGTCTTGGCATTGGGAATGACGAGCGTTCGGGATTTGCAAAATGTGTCTAAGAAACAGATGGCCGACACATTCTGCTACGATATGCTGCGAAAAATTTGCCCCTGGCACTTCCCATTTGTTCAGGAATGGGATTGTTTTGAAAAGGAAAATGGTGCTTGGGAAGTCGGCGCCAGTCATTCATGAAGGAGTTAGCGCCAGAGAAGACCTACAAAATACTCACGGATGGTGTCGATGCAAGATGTCGGCTTTCAGGGAGAAGCGGATGTTGCCGGGGAGCTCGTCAAACCTAAATCCGACGCAGAAACTGCAGGGGATTCCCCTACAAGAGCTTGAAAGCTGGTAACCTTTTATCAGCCTCCGGCAGCTGACGGAGTGACGAAAATCGGTATGGGCAAATATTTTTGGAGATACAGAAAAAGGTTTGGTTTGCAACCTTCCGAATCAGTTGTCAAAGCATGCATATTTGTCTAGTGTACACACGGACACCAAAACCTTAGATTTTTTGCCGGTTTTTATATGCTTTATTGACATGGGAAATGTGTAAACGAACTTTTGAGACACCCTGTATATCGTTCTACGAAAAAGAAAGACTCGAGAAGATGCAGGGCATTTGCACAATTGACTCCCTCGCTAACGATGCCCGATACCTATCGGTGATCGGTTTTAGCACCACCATTTTTTCCGAGAACCAAAATGCCCGGCTCATATCTGTATTTCAAAGAAACAACATTCAAAACCGAATAATGCCACACAGATGCAACAGTCCCAAACACAAACCTTAAAATTACCATTTGGGTCTTGGTCGCAGAAGGGGCTCGGCTAGCACGTGTATAACACTTGGGACATGCAAAACTAGCTAGTAACAAATGAAAGAAGGCATCTTTGTTATTGACAGCGAAAAGGTATTGTTTGGTGAAACTAGATACGATGTTTGGTTGTTGGGTACGTTTTGTCAGCTATTTTTTGCGAAGTGTTTATTTATGGAAGATAGCTTACAAGCGAACAAAGGCCTGCGGTGTGAGCGGCCTTGAAGGACTGTTGACAAGCATAAGATGAGGCGAATGCTAGAACCAGAAGAAAAAAGCTAAGATTTATCATGAGCGTTTAGATTCCATTTGTTTTCAAATACCTATAATATCACTCTGACCCTTTGTCTTAGTGACGTAGATATCTAGTGAACATACCATATTTTCGCAATAGCCAGCTGTTATTTGATTCTTGACATATTCCGCACTTGCTTATACTGCGTTCTTTTATTTTTCTCTCAAGTTCAATTTTATTCTCCCGGTGAGCATACACGCGATGTGGGTCTGCAGCTCTGTACCCGACTCTCATCCTTTGGCCGTGTGACCGCCTGGTCTCTCCCGGCTCCCGTGGAATGCTGTCAGCCCCTGCAGCCTGACACTGGGTTGATTGATTCAGGGGCTACTAAGAAGAGCGACTCGGAGAAGGACGTAGATAGGACGGGTGGGCTGCCATGAGTTTCGTCAGCGATGGCATACAGCCCAGGCAGGTGACCGATTTACCGACTGGAGTTAAGCGAAGAGCCGAGAACGTCATCAACTGTCTACCTTGGTACTCGAGTGATGTAAGCTGTAATTTGAAATACATTAGTAAATTCATTATACGCAAATTTCCAACCTGCATCATACTGTGCTGATTCTAATATCTCACGGCAGCACTAATCGTCTGGTCTTATCCTGAAATTCATCGTTATAGATTACTTTATTTAGGTACGGATAAGTTGTCGGGAACAGGAAGCAGTTGACATTTGCTTTTGTACTTTCTGTACGTCCACTTTATAAAACCTAACGCAATCAGGCTCATCCATTTCGAATCAAGGCGATCACAATTGACCGGCGCCATCTCTGAACCTCTCTTCGTAGACGACTTTCTGTCGTTTGTTCTTCTTCTCGTGCGGACTGAGTGGCTCTCCGCGGCGCGTGCTGAGTCGAGCGGAGGGCAAACAGACTCTCCGCTCACACGGAGAGTCTACCCCCCCCCCTTCCGGGTCAGAGGTCACGCGGCTCCGAGAGTGGCCCTTCAGTCGAGCTCGGTCAGCTGGTTTTGGAGAGGATCGTCCTGGCTTTGATGGATGCCGACCGCTCTGAGGTTTGGTTTGACAGTGAGCTGGAGGGTACAGCGCACACACTACAGTCTGTGAAACGACTGTGACGGTGAGGGTGTCAATGTACGGAAGGAAACATTATGGTGTTATCAGCTGTGTGCCGGGAGAAATCTTAAATGGAGGTCTGGTCATTCCTGCTTGGTCTGGTCTAGTTTTTGTTTTCCACTGTGAATGGCTATTTTCAAGGAGACACAGCAACTTTGCAGAGCTTTTTGAAAACCTTTTTGCAAAGTTGTTGGCTCCTCGGCTTTTTCGTGAGCAGCAACTGTGTTCATTCGCAATTTGCTGACATTTCTGAAATCACGGGGCTTGTAAATGGGCTGGTAAGTGGTCCGCAGTTGTGAATTGTCGCCCCCGATGTTAGTAAATTGGGGCCGTCAGCCTCCGGTGCGACTGCGTGAGGACTACTATTGTCGGGAGTGGGCACTGCTGCAGGAGCTGCCCTCCATAGAGAGGGAGGGGGAGAGGGAGGTCGGCCCGTCGCCCCTGCACATCAGTATGCGGTCGGCCGGGGCGTCCGGCGCCAGTGATTGGCTGTGATTGTCGACTGTTCCGTGCTGGCCGAGTGGCGGCTGGAGAGGCGGGAGGTGGGATTGGTGTAGTCGGCACCAGAGGTGACTGTGGGACAGGAGGAAGTGATGATGGCGCACGCAGAACCCGTCGAGCCGAAAGGGAAGGGTTGAAATCATACCTAGCACCATACCCACGGATACCCACGGTGCTCGATACCCACGGAGCCTGGAGGGAAGGCCATGGAACGTTCGACAATCATCACCAGAGCTGTCTGTGGAACTGGAAGAGGGGTGGTGCACTGAGCACCATAGGCCATTGTGAACCTGGTTCTGAGATACAGTGTTGCATACAGGCCTGCTAACCATGCGGTGTAAATTGAGAAAAATTCGGTGCACTCATTCACCGAGAATTTAAGCAACGATAATTATACGGCGCTGAAGCGAAATGAGCTGAGAACTATGATTACCTCGCTGCAGCTAATGATCGTGCTGCCCCGAGGACGTCCAGCGCTACATCTCGTTACCCTCCTCGAGGGCTCGTGTGCTAGATTCACGGTCATGGAACCTGCCCGCGAATCACGGCCCATCACATGCCCGTCTCTCTCCCATCATTGCTGCCGTGCGGAGGATAATGATGACATCACTCCCTGTGATGGCAGTCCCCCAGCTGATAAAGGTGGCGCGTCACCTGACACCTGCTCGTTTGGTGATGACATGTCACTGCTATGCCGGCTTGTCGGGCAGAGGTATGGGAACCTCACGGCAGCAGTGTCAGGCTGACGGGACAACTGTTTCCACCTGTCAGCGTACTGCACAGCTACTCTGGCTCACAGAGCCCTGAGGGCCGCGGTACCGGCGCCGGTGAGAGTTGGGTCCAGTTTGGAGCGACGGCCACACTGTCTGGACTTTTTGACCGCCTGTGGTGGCGACGATCGAAATCATCAGTTTGTGATGGGCTCGTTTGTAATTGGACGTTGTGTGATGTTTGGAAACATTGCGAGCTATTCCTGCGCCCTGCGGTCCGGTCCACTCGCTTCTTTTGACACGAGGGTATTTATCAGCTCTGCTGTCCTGAATAAACAGCGAAAGGAGCTACAGACGGTTTGCAACCGTGTAGACTGATGAGTCGCATTTCTTTTGACTGATATGTCACATGATATGCCTATTCCCAGCCCTCTTATTAAGTTCGATAACCGCATAGGCCAATACGTTCGTAAAATATGCTTTCGGTATCGTTTTCAATTGTTTGTTAACTTGTAGCTGGAATGGTCCTTTTCGAGACTGGAGGGTGAGCTGCTCTCGTACAATCTGGCATCATTCGACACTAAACCACCAACGAACGAATACCAATGCGAATGCTTAGGGTGCAGCGATGTGTTGCCCTTGTAACTGAGCCATTGGTTATGAGATGAATCACCTCCACGTTCCACCTTCGAGTCAGACTCCATCTGGAGTTATTTTTGTCGGTAGCATTACCTCCCATCTCACCATGCGTGGAGATGGACCATTTGCCGAGAGGTCGTATACCGTGCACTTGGCGCTTCCCAGGCGGCCTCTCCTTCGTCCTTTGTGGTCGGACGTAGTGACGTGTGTTTTTTGTCCGCGGAGGAAGCAGGGTTTCGTGACTGGCGCAGTGGGTGTCCGATGTGCACTGTTAGTACCCTGTTTTTATTGCTGAGTGACAGTTTTTGCTCGGTATTGATCTATGCCTTGATGAGGGCTCTGATGTGTTGTTAGGAAAACGCATTTGTGCTGATATAACGCAATTTGCCCGGTGATGAAGTAATGCCATTTACTTAATAAACCTGGGTTATTTTTGGGGTGTTTCTTAGAATGTAGAATTGTCACATATGTATGCCACATACTGATTTTATACGCGTTTCTTTAAACTTGACCACTTTTGTAACGACCTCGTTGAAAATGGAACGAGTTTTTTTTTTTGCTGTTGCGTGCCTTTGGCATCCTGCTGACAGTATAAATGAACACGCTACAGTGTGATTGACGGCCCGTTTCCCTGTTTGTCCGGCAGTATCCTGTTCGCCGACATCGTGGGCTTCACGGTCCTGGCCTCTCAGTGTTCGGCGCAAGAGCTGGTGCGGCTTCTCAACGAGCTCTTCGGGCGCTTTGATCAGCTGGCCAACGTGAGTAGCCTGCTGATCATGTAACTGACGTCATAAGATCTGTGACGATAGCTTGGGTGGATACTTATCTGAAAGATTTGATCATTCAGTTTAAAAAGGGAAGCAAATGTCCCAGTAGCTTTGTCGTGTCTGTGTTGTCTCTGTGTTTAGAAACTTTAAATGTAATCCTATTTCTTGAGTAAATGCTCTTAAATTTGGCTTTTGAGTTCATGACGCTAAAAAAGCATGTTTAACACACGCTAACATTGCGAGGGTTCCAGTGTATTCGATGTCATTGTCGTGCACAATTTGTAGTCAACAACAATTTACCAATTTAACAATTTTTAACATTGCAACTATGACAGCAAATGGAATTAAGTGAGATTTCGACCAGCAGTGCCGACTGCCGTCGTTCCTTGTCAGCCCCATCTACCGCCATCATTGCAGAGGGACCTAATGCACTGACGAAATATCACCACATTGTTGAGCCTGTCCCTTCACTCGCCAGCCCGGGCCGCTCGACTGATGAATCGCGACAATCTGCCGACAGCCCGCGGTCAATATACACAGATAAACAGTTCGTAATGGCGTCCACATTTCCACGGGGCACTATGACGAAACCCACCCACCGCGCTGTACCAGCCAACATCCACAAACAGAGCGTATTTTAAGCCGCGCGATTCGGTTATCGCTTTGGTTATTGTGATCAGAGATGTGCCAAATTGGTCATATGGTATTGGTTTGGTGACAGGTGGAAATTTTTGCTTCAATTATGTGGCATTTCTATTGATATTGGCACCACGACAGCAAATTTAGTTAGCTGTATACCATGACAACTGCAGGCTAGCTTTTTGCGATGCAGCTGCTTACCCTATGTTTAAACCTTTTGTTGTGTTGCTTTCTTTTATGGTGATGGCGTTGTTTCATTTTATGAGAAAGGGAAGTAAGCCCGAAATTATGTGCTTTTCATAATATCATACAACAATTAATTGAAATATGATATCCACGCGAACGCGTAACATAGCAACACTGTCTTTTCAACACTATCATGGCCGGTGGCGGTGGCCACAGGTGTTTTAACACTATTCTGCCACTCAACACCGGCCCACCATGAGCTTCTAGCTGCCGCTGCGGCCGCCGCGGTTTGCAGGAGGGACCATTGTTCTGTAGTTTTATCTGACAAGGTGCCGTATTGTTTAGGGTGCCACAGAGGGACATCGCTCGCATATCTGTCTGTTTCGTCTGTCGTCTTCTGCCTATAGATCGCGGGGATTACCTGCCATGAGACGGTAGCTTGGATACGATATCTTGTGGACTTTGCGGCTATGATGCCCATGATGTCGGACATTCTTTGCTTTTGATGTCCTCTTAAATCATCCGTGATTAACCAGTGAATTTAGAGAAGCACGATCATAAGGTCCATGCTATCCATTTCCATTTCCATGCTAAGCTCTGTAACAAAACCCAGCATGATCATAACCTGCCATATTCATCTCTTTCTTACAAATGTCTCTCTCTTTTTCAGGACAACCACTGTATGCGGATCAAGATCCTGGGCGACTGCTACTACTGCGTCTCGGGCCTGCCGGAGGCGCGCTCCGACCACGGCCGCTGCTGCATCGAGATGGGACTGGACATGATCGATGCCATCGCGTAAGTGCCGCGCCGCGCCGTTTAATGTTCATAGCTTCGCGCACACCTACTCAATTTATCTTCTTGATTCCCAAGTGTCTAACACACATGGGACGAGGAAGTTGTGTAGGGAGGGGCGTCTGTCCTGTTCGGTCTGGTGTTCAGGGCACTGTGCAGTGACCCGGTCGTCCCAAAAGGTTAGAGTCCCGTGGCCGGGTATTACCACAGAGCCACGTGTCTTAGCTGGTGGGAAACCCACGCCGTAACTGCTGAGTACCCCGTGTCCCGGCTCGTCAGAGTTCCGTGCCACAGCTGGCCGAGCACCGACGCTGAGTGATATATAACGTAATGTAATATATATTCAATGAAATGTAATGTAATAGGTCGGTAATCTGCAGCCTCGGTGTCCACCAAAAACGGCACCAGCCGACCCGGCCTCCGTAATGGTACTAAATGACCCTGTGGTGAGAGCTGGTGTTCGAACATCGCGTTGGAGCTTCGAGCATGACGTTGGAGCGATGCTGCATTTTAGACGTTTGAGGAAGACAATGTGCTTGGGGATTATGGGAGCTCGTCTATTTAATGCCCTCGTCGTTGGTCTATGAATAATATGGTCGTTTGCACATGCAACGAAAACTTTTCATAGGCTGCAAAGATTGACAACATGCATAGCTTTGAATTGAACTGCAGTCTCGGATCGGAGCTGTGGTTGATTGGAATCTTGCTGGTGATACTTTTCTGACGCGTCCGCCGCGAAGTTATCCCGTTATCACTGCCTTCAATCCTTTCATTGACAGAGACAATTTCTCAATGCTCCCAGTCTTTGGAAAGTAGCCACCCATGTTCGGGGCATTGTCAGGTCCCATTCGGTCTGCTGTATATGAGCGATCATTAAACTCAGTCGATTTCATATTTTCCAAAAGGTTAACAACCTACGTGCGTGCGTGACCGCGTATGGCAGCCTTGACTTTTACGGCTAAGCGGTATGTGACAGCTCCCGAAAAATGGCGAAGACCCATCCACCTCGTTTTAGCTCGGCGCGTCGAACAATTTGGACACGAACGAAGTCCTTTCATCCCCGAACCGTGAGGTGAATCCGCAGCTCCGGGCTGCAGGCGCCACCGTTTCATTTTCTGCGAGTTTCTCAAACGGTAGCCGGCTCCCGGGCAGAGCAGTGTCCGCGCTCAGGCTGCGCTCATTACGGGACGTGTGGTGGCGGAGATGGTAGAACGCGATATCGGACTCTACCGCTCCCTGGGGAGGTGGAAGGGATAGCGCAGCTGGGCACACGGTGGTCTACCGCTCCCAGGAGAGGTGGGCTGACATGGATATTGACGGCTGGTTAGGTGGAAGCTGCTTGGCGTCTGAAAAACTGATGGGACGTAGGGGAAGGTGGGGTAAGACGGCCCAGCGGGGCAAGACGGACCACCAGCCCTCCCGGCTGAACCGCTGCTGGTATCTACTGCTTTATGCACTCACTATGTTTGTTTTCCTTCGTAACAATGGCCACCTTGAGCTCATGCTGCTGGGATGCATAGGTTTTGAGTTATTGAGAAAAATGTTGTTTTTCGTCAAACCGATCTAATATATAAGAAATCTACGGGTGATTCAATCACGGTGCCTTTCTTGCATGATAAGTTTCTATTTTGCACTTAACTGTGAAGAACAAAGTTATAAACTTAGTTATAGTCACACTTCAGGAAAGGCAAGGTTTTGCTATGTTGGGCTATTTGACATATACGTCATGATAATGACAGAATTTAGATTTGGGGCAAGACGGACCACTGTGGTTCATCTTACCCTGTGGTGGTCCATTGTACCCTGCATATGGAAAGTTCTTTTCCAAAACATTGACACAAGTTTAAGTAAGCTAATTTTTCAGGAAGCAGTCTTTGTTGCATGTGAGCCATGCATGCAAGTGCTCAGTTAGCATGCATTCATGCCAAACGACAATCAACACACATGTTCCCAGCTTTTAGCTGCACTTCCATCACACATGAGTAAAGAATAAAGGCTCATTTTGTTATTTTACCATTCTGGCTACTTTTTCTTACAAGAGTACAGAGCAGAAGTGTAACACACATGAACGGATAGCAGGCACTGCTAGGTGGTCCGTCTTACCCCACGTTTTTTCTTGTCTGAGTTTTTGACATGTCCCTCTTTAACCCGCGACCGCCTGGGGGGGTCGGATCCGACCCCCCCCCCTCCGTTTTTCTTAAATAACTCAAGAACTGCTTACGCTATCAACTTGAAACTCGGCATACCTTCTCCCCCATCAATTTGACGTCTTCTGTGTAATTTTTAAGAAAAAAATTTCAAAATTTTTTGAGATATATCGATTTTAGTGATGTAACTACATGGCGTTTTTAGTCAAAAAGTGGTAAATGTTTTAAAAATCGCCAATAATCAGGGTTTAAAGCAAATTGCAAATTAAGGACATGAATAGACGCAGCTCAACGAGTTCTTTAAAATAGCTATCTCGGATTTTCCATAAAATGCGTTTTTCACCCCTAAAAATTCAAAAAACTACATTTTTTGGAAAACAGCTAATAAAATCCAAAATTTTGAGAATTTCCAAAAAAAACTGGAATATATGTTATAGAGCTCTATTAGAACATAAGTTGTCCCAAATTTCAACTTTCTATCTTGATTTTTGACCCCCAAATTGTAAAAAATAGCTCCAACATGCATAGGGCATGGTGACGTCATTAGCATTTTCGTGAATTAGAGGCACTTCTGAACATCGCATGTGAAAACAAATGGCACCACTAGATTCCTGGGACAAAGCTCGTCTAGAAAAGTGCATTTTTATGTCAAAAATAAAAAGTTGAAAAAATGACCCTTTTTCTCAGCCCTCGTTTAGTATAAACGATTTTTTATGCTTTCAATGCACACTTATCACCGGCAAAGTGAATTGGGGTCACATATAACCATTACCATCGGATTCGGCGTGAAAAATAAGCCATAAAACATGTGTTGCACGCCCATGTAGCGGAAAGTGAAAACCGTGACCTTTCGTGACCTGGCCTGACCTTGACCCGTACTTAGTATGACCTCTATACTTACATGGTACCTTCACTAGGCCTTTGAGGTCATTTTTGGTGAGTTTCGAGCAGCAGCTATCGATTCCGCTGTCCGTAAGCCTAATCATGTAAAACCCCAGAATTTGACCTTTGACCTGACCTTGACCCGAAAGTTGACCTCAATCTTAAATAAAATCTTAAGAGTGCTTTGGGAAGGTCTCGTAGAGACCTTTCGAACGCCGCCTCGCGGGGCTCGATGCGACCATTGGTTCTCGAGATAACAGGGGGGGGGGGGTCGGATTCGACCCCCCCAGGCTGTCGTGGGTACGGAAATAGCCCAGGCGGTGCCGGGTTAAGACCGTCCACCACCTAGATGTCTTTAATTTGAAATTTAGTCTTTACACATATCAACAGAGGAAGGATTGAGCATTCCGAAGACTATAAATAATATGAATTACGAGAGCAGTGTAGCAAGATATGCGGCCTCAAACCTTAGCTGGTCCGTATTACCCCACCTTCCCCTACCTAAATGTAATTGAAAGAAAATTGAAAGAAACTGGGTTATCTGGACTGGGCCTTTCCTGCATCACAGGCGTGACTGGTGTGTTTTGTTTGATCGGATATAGTGGATCGAACGAACGCTTATGCTCTTTCACTCAGTCCAATCCTGGAAGCTAAATCTACCGAGTGTTAATGCTAATATATTCCTGCCCGGGGCCGGGATGATTCAATAAATGTCACCGAGGTTTTTTAGCGAAAACTCCGAGGGCCGTTAGGCCCGAGGTGATTTTGCTAAAAAAGCGAGGTGACATTTATTGAATTCCCGGCCTTAGGGCTGGAAGGTGTTTCCCATACCTGCCAAAAAGCTCACAACTATGTGATAGTGACGTCAGCAGCCGTGTGGTTCAACGTGTTTAACCACACCCCTTGAACCACACGGCTTGTAATATAAAAGCATTGCATTAAACTTTGAAAAGTGTGGTACAGTGCACGTGCCGTTTAAATGCCTGGATGTCTCGATTTAATCATGCAATGTAGCAGGTATGGGAAAAAAAAAGATTTCCTGGTTCATTGTCAATGGGATGCAGCTAAAGGTCGGAAGAGCTTCAGTCTCCAAAGCAATAACGCTTTCATACCTGGATTTCATCTGCCATGTGCTCCGCTATATCTCATCAGTGAAAGACTTTTTGAAGGCAGCCTCAATCCCTTATGAGCCATTTTCAAATATTTTCAATCCCTCACCTTCCCTTTCGGATCACATTTGAAGGTCCGGGTAGATCCGACGCTGAAGAAACTCGGACCGGCGCGTAGCGCCGCCGGCGGACGGCGGCCGCTCGCCTTAATAACGCGTGGCTCTGATCCGACCGACTGCGGCGTGAGCCCTCCGGATAAACGGAGGATCTCAGACCGCCCCCGGCAGAAGACGCGCTGAGCTGTCCTCTGTCCGACCGTCTCCGCTGGCAGGAACATATGACCATATCCCCTGTCCTCAATCATTATATGATCTGTCTGAACCAGATAGTTGAACCATCTAGTCTGAACCATCTTGTCTGAATCCATCTATTTGCTGATCTGTCTATCTGAACCATTTAGTTTGAACCATCTGCTTTAACCAGGGATTATCTGACTGAACCACTAGACCATCCATCTGAGCTATTAGACCATCTGTTTGATCGAATCATTGGATCGTCTACAATGCTATACGAATGAACGGAATATTCGGGGCTTTTGTTGAACGTTGTTGATTGCAGCATTTTGTTTGTGTACTATCAAGTATCAGTGTGTACAACAGCTTATCCGCGCCGCCAGCTTCCGTATCAGCGAATGCTTCTGCTCATAGATGTCGCTAGCTGTAAATCCCTGGATATAGGCTGTGCCGCATAGCTCGGAGCGAGATACGTGTCCCAGTGCGTGGCTGAAATGAAGGCCTGCTGAGACACTCCGACCTTGAGTGTGATGGTTTGTTGCGCCCTTTCAATTTGCCTGTTCACGATACTG